TCAGAGTTTAGGAAGAATTGTTTAGCCTCTCGACCTCCCATGGGTCTTTGGCTGCCTTTGGGGTCCAACTGCATGTCAGAGATACCCAAGTTGTGCATCTATCCTCTTCTTTCTACATGTGCTTCTTCCTTTGGCAATCAGACTCAGAAGGAGACTTATGAGGCCATCTTGGGGTTGCAAGGAAGCTTCTTCCCTGAAAAAAAGTAAACTCTAGTAATAAATAATAAAATAATAAAATTAATACTCAAGTGCTACAGCAAAGTTTCTAACATGACCTATGGCAGAAACCTGCTGCTTATTAGCTAAACAGTGTGGATCTGGATGAGGGCTTCCAAAAAAATAAAATTCCCATGAAGAAGTACTGTAGGACATAGTAGAAATTTAAATACACGCCTAGGAAAGGATCCCTGAGAGGGTTTTTCCCTGGAATGTAGCTTCTTTCAACTATCAACAGAAGGAACCAGCATTCCTTTAGTTTATGTGACTCTCCTGGGTTAGGGAAAGTCCTAGAATTACCCCTCAAGAGCCTCCAATATAGCAACAAGTCTGCAAGTAGCTTCAGGAGCTGCACTTTGAAGCAGCTTGTGTGCCGAAAACTGGGGGTGAGGCTACAATCAGTTTGTGGTTGAAGAAGCAACCATTTTGAATTTATTTTTCAAATAAACAGTAAGTTGTGCCTTTCATTTCTTAACCATTTTAAAGGATGATTAATCTTTATTAAGCTATAAGAGGATCTCTTTAGCTATAGCTTGTTATTTCTTTTTGAAGATCTGCACCATTTGGTGGATTTCTTTTTGTTAAACAATAAGGAAGAAGGCTGCTAAGGCAAGCTAAAATAAGGAAGTGTGGATTATCCCTTAAAAAATGATGAGGAAATATAAGGGCAGAAAGTTGAATTTTAGTTTATTATTTTTAGTAATTTGTAGCTTAGTTTGCTTTGCTGTAGGTGGCTAAAACTAAAACTTTCCAATTTTTGATTCCTGATTGGTCAGTAATTCTTAAGTGACTTACAAAAAAGCTACTCTTTAACTAAAGAGGGAGTTAAGAAAATGGAGGAGCAAATGATTAGAGATGTATTTGAAAAATTCTTTAAATAAAATACATCAGTTTATAGATCAGCTATGCTCCAAGGATGTTAAAAAGACTATTCACACTACTTCAGAGATGTAAATTTGTGTAGAAAATCACCAAACCACTGAGGCAATTTCACGAGTAGCTGACAATGCAAAGAAGTCAACTGTAATTTTGGAATATAAACCTGATACCAATTTTTATTATGATGGCTTAAATACAAGACTCCCAACACAATTAAAAGAAGAGCTCCAAGAAAATTTGCAACATTTAAAAGGACAAGTTTGGGACTTTTCCTCATGGACATTAACAAGGTTGAGAAATCCTTGAGAAAAAAAAAGCTTATAACTACTTGACAAACATTCCAGAGAAGAAAAAGTCTTTACTCCATAAAGATAAGGTGGAGGGACTGACTTAAACTTAATGAGTCAACTGGAATTAGGATGGATTTCCACCAGTTTGATATTTATAATTGAAAGAAAGTATTATTCTAAAGTTTGAAAAGGTATTTAATGCTTAAATAACTCCTAAAGTTTGTAAAATATTGAAAGTGTATTTGAAAATATGTTAAGAACAAGTTAAAGAAAAAGATGTATTAGCTTAAAGAAAAATCTAGACCTTTCAAAAGGATGTATACAAGAAGAATTTTTATTCTATGAGGGTAACTTGATGGGAGTGATCAAAATTTAATGAATTAATTGGAGTTAGTTGGAGTTTTATTGGTCTGAAAGTGAACTTTAAAGAATGTATGCTAAGAGAGTTTTTAAAAAGATGCATTAGAATGTTTTAATCTTAGAAATGTTTTTAATGAAAAGCTTAGTGTTTTAAAATGGATAAAAATATTTTCTTTTAAGTTAAAGAATCTGAAAGAGTACAGTGAATTTTGTTAATATAAATGGTGATATTTTATAAAAATTATTAAGTGCCAATAGAAATACATATTTCAACAGCAAGCAAGATAAAGCAATAATGATTAAACTGGTTGTTCTATTCAAAGAGGAAAATATATTTATGGGATTTTATGTTCGTGATTAAAAAAAAATGAAACTTTAACTTTGGTTTTGCCAATTAGATAGATTTGTTGTTCCCTTAATTTCCTATTTTTATTTTTATTTGTATTTTATACATTGATAAAACAATAAGTTATTATCAATGTTTTAAAAAAAGAAATTTAAATGAAAAATGTCTACTAGGAATTATTTATTACCTTAGGTATCTAAGTAATAGAGGTATAGGGAATTAAGGATTAAGATTAAGAGTTTGATTGATTTAAAGATAATTGCGTCCAATTCTCCTTCCTTTTCTCTTTCTTTCTTTCTTTCTTTCTTTCTTTCTTTCTTTCTTTCTTTTTCTTTCTTTCTTTCTCTTTCTTTCTTTCTTTCTTTTTCTTTCTTTCTTTTCCTTTCTTCCTTCCTTTCCTCCTTCTTTCTTTTCCTTTCTTTTTTCCTTCCTTCCTTCCTTCCTTCTTTCCTTCCTTTCAATACAGGGGGGGTCAAATTCAATTTCATTGAGGGCCGCATCAGCATTGCGGTTGCCCTCAGGGGGCTGGGTGGGTGTGGTCAGGGTGGGTACAGCCTACTGGGTGGGTATATATGGATTGGGTGTAGCCTACTGGATGGGCATGGCCAGCTCTACATCATTCGCATCAAGGGTGTCTGTGGGGGCCTGGGCAGGAGTGGGACAGATCTGAGGGTCGCTGGCAGAAGGGAGTGGGACTGGGACAAGCGCCAAGGCATGGTCCATTTCTTCATTCCTCACAAAGGGTGACACCTCCCCAGCATACACCCAGGGGGCAGGGCCGACACGGCAGGGGCTGGTTCCTTGCTGTTTCCAGACGGCCTTGTGGAGCTAAGACTGAATGCGTTTCAGCATAGATGGCCACCACAAAATTGTACATTGGCTCCTGGCTGGCCTGGGCCAGGGCCAAGGCAGCGGGGGCCGTTCCCTCATTGTTTCCAGGATGGCTTTGCAGGCCACATGAAACCACTTCATGGGCCACATCCAGCCCCCAGGCCTTGTGTTTGACATGTCTGTTCTAATATTATCAGGTTAGGCACTTGAATTTGTAAAAAAAAACAAATGTAATACCATTTTAAAGTATTAGTTAGATACAACAGAACATTGTTTAGAAGATTGAAATGTATTGATAGCTTTGTTATGAAGAAGGGGAAGTTAAGGTATAATTTGGGAGTAAGCCCTGCTGAACTCAATGTAGTCATGTGCAGAACTATCTGGCATACACTACAAATCACGGAAGAAATCTTAACTAAACTTAATTCTATTTCATGTACAATAGCCTTCAAATTTTTGGATCAGAAGCATTGGCATTTGTTTTCCTTTTTTTGTCTTCACCTTTTTCTGCATTATTTGCATTTATACCAATTTGTAGGCGATGATTCATATCCGGAAAAACATTCACAATGCATCAATATTTATTAAGCCTTGACAAAAAAAAACCCCAGAATAAAAATAGTCTGAGTGATATACCTCTAGGACAGGGGTTGGTGCCATGGATTTTTCCAAGGTGAATGCTTTGTTGAAGCTATTAAGCACTTACCTTCCCCTTGCTTGCCTGGATTTGCAAATATAATTTTAGTGTTGTGTTTACTCCAGAAGAAATCCCACCCCAAAGAGATTTGAGGTACAGCACAGTGCTTTACAGCTGAGCGATGCAATCTTAATTTCTTTATTAATTCCTACACACTTATAAAGGCATTTGGTCCTATGTAGCTTGGGACATGTGCATGCATACACACAAATTTGATCTGCAGTGTCGACAAGAGCAAGGAAGAACTCACTATTGTTTTTCTTGTGCTGGTAAGCAAGTTACATGGGTTAGGCTGACTTTGGGGTAGGCAGAGTTTAATTTTATATGTCTGTGGGGAGAGAAAAACAGCCACCGGCCAGAGCCCTTGCCAATGTTGCTGATGACAAATTGTGATGATGTTATAGCCAATGAGAAGAGAAGAACAGCATCAAGGAAAAAATGGATGGCTGAGTGAATGTCAGAGACCATGTTTGTGGTCTCCCCTCCTTAATCTTTCACAGAATCCACTGCGCCCAGTTTATGCTTGAAAATACATTATTATGCTGATTCTTAGAGATAATTGTTTTGCAGCATTTTTTTTCTAAAGTGATCAGAATTTTCTATGGTTGGTATAATGATGGCAGAAATGATGGGTCTCTTTGCACTTTGTAAAAAGTAAATATTTTATACTTAATTAAAGTTTAATAAAACAAGATTTTACAAATGAATATTTTATTAGATCAAAGATTTCTAGTGTCAAACCCTGATATCTGGATGAAATTGATAGTGGAATAGTCTTGGAGGAAGTTAATGGATTAGTCAGACCCCACCTCCTCCCCACGCACACTTTGTTCCCTTCCTTTCATTATGGTTAATCAAATTTTATCTGAATTTTTAACTGCATGGTATTCATAGTTTTAATGTTTAAATGGTACTATAATTGTAAGCTGCCTAGAGTCACCTTGGTGAAATGTGTGGCATAGAAGCCTAATATTAAACAAGCTATCAAACAGATAGCTATTAAATACAACTTCTCAAAATACAATTAAAATACATGGCTATAAATAATAAAAAGTCATTAAGATGAAAAAATATTAATTTCTAGAGATATTACTTACCCCACGTGGTAATACTAGCAGTTTATTTGCCAAAAAGGTTGTTGACAATCACTACAGAGATTGATGGGACAAAATATCTGTTTAAAAGTGCTGTTATTAATAAACCTGAAAGTATTTTCCCAGGATTAGAGTGCACATTTTCAAGCAAAAGACAGAATTGGTCATTTTTACTAATGGAGTTTTTGACTAGAGAAGTAGATTGAGCAAGAGGCTCCAAAACATAGCAGAAAAGTATATAATACAGAACATTTTTGATTTTAAAAAAAGAACAGGCCTTCAAGGACTTTAATGCTTCAATAAATAATATTTTATTGCATATGGCTATTAAGGATAGCAGCCAAGATCAGTAAAGACTAAAGACTAAATTTTAGTTCCACGTTTTCTGTTCCCCAGCAGCATCACTGATTATTTCTATATATATGGTGTGCATTGGAAGACACAGCAAGATAAATTAAGTATTTTGCCTTAGCACAATGCCAAGAAATATATTTACTATCTCAATGTCCAGAAACAATTATATTTCTAAAAAGAAAACACTGCTTATAACTGTTAATGTTACATAGCAAAAAATATTTTAAAATTTAAGGTAAAATTAGGCTGAATTTACAAAGACCCAATATACATAGCAAAGTGTTAGCAAATTTAACATTTATACATTTTGGTTTCAGATTGTAAACTAGATTAAGAATGTAATTATTTGCATATGCCTTGTGAAATGTAAATTATTGACAATGTCAGTATATATTCAAGCTTATTTATTTTAGAAACTAACTAAACTGATTATTATGGACTCAGGGACTTACTTTTCCCCCTGAAGTCATTAGATGCAGTGCTCCATTACTTGAGGACATGATATCCAGCTATCTTCATTAATTTAATTTATGACATTCCCCCATAACTTAATGCTTTCAAGGTGTTTTGGATCACAATTTCCACAACCCAAGCCAGCATGGGCATTAATCAGAATATTAGAAATTGCAGTCAAAAATTTCTGCAGAAATGTGGGGTAATTTTTTTTTTTTGCTTTTATTTGATAATTCCATTCTTCAACATATACTCTCCTCCCATTCCCTCAAAAAAAACCTTGAGTGAGTAGAGATTATATTCAGATGCATCGTTCTACAGAGTCTTCTGTCCCACTGCTCAGCATGAAAGCAGGAGAATTTTGAATTATCCTGAGCAATAGCTCAGTAAAGATAGAAAATACTGCTTCTGATGATGTTGTGTTCATTGCTTAAACACAGACAGTTGCTCTTAGTAATGATAGTAATACATTTTTTAAAAGTCTCTTGAATCAAAAATGGATCAGAAGCAACAAGAAGAGGACCACCAAAGCTTTGAAGATAAGATATGTAAAAATAGCAGCTCTGACACTGTTATTTTCAAAATACTGAATATGTATGTTCTTATGAACTATCTTTGGGAGACTGACTGAAAATTTTGTTCTCTCCCCAAATATTATGGTTTTTTTAATGGAAATTATTATTTCTTGTTGAAGAAAAATATTCAGCTTTACTGAATAATATGCTGAATTTTGTACAAAAGTTTGCCATCTTTTTGACATGTATTACCCTTCATTTCTAAATTTTAGTTGCAAGAAAATAAGCTAATACCAAGAATAGGCTGATAAACCTAAGCATACAAATAGGATAAAAGATCTCTGAAGTCTGCAAAACTTTAAAAGAAACTATCAAACAAATGTGTCAGAGGTATAGAGTGACATCCCAGTACAGTTTAATGGTACCAAGTTTTGCTGCTTCCAAAGCAGATCTTATATTTATCAGAAATATAGTGATAGAAATCTAATCTATCAAGCTTCATCTTGGCTTTAAGTTTTTCAGGTCCCATTTTCCATTTGCATGTAAGTAAAAGAAGCAGCCAGCCAGTAGCAGGGTTCTTGATAGATTCGGTAAGGCTGACAACTGTACTATGCCACTGAGAGAAAGGAAATGTCAGCCATCCTAAGCCACAATACAAATCCAGTTTGACTTTTAACTGAGGTAGTGCTGTAGAGGTTTGAAAATATGCTAGTAAACACCAAATTGTACTGCTGTAGCATGTGCAAGCAGAACCTCTTAACATGCTGAAGAGTAAGTACAGTTCATTGGTACTGAAAATGCAATGATCACAATCCATCAGCAGAGGTCCAAAGTCCTAAAAGATATCACGCTGAGCACAATGTATGCAAACAGTGGCACGGTGTTGCAAAAGATCCTGGTAAATGAGACAGGTTGCTTCTCCTCCAATAATAATGAAGAAATGTTCTGAAAGCTATGTGAAGTAGGGAGAAAAATGGATCTTATAGCAGCTTAAATCTAAAATGATGACAGTTCTATCAAGTATAAGGATGAAACTTGTTTCTTCATTCTGGAAGGGGGAAAAAATGAATCAGTAAGTTCTAATCAAAAGTAAGCAAAGGTACAGACTATCCTTATGTGCTAATTTACTGTTTTTTTCAATTACTGATTAACGTAGGCATAGCTGATTTCTAAATTCTAAGGAACTTCTTAGTTCTAAGGAACCTTCTTAGGAATTCAGAGCTGCTCCAGAAATATTAGCTGCCGCAGAAGATGCTGCACATCTAACATTAACATTACACTGCTAAGTTTCCCTTCAGTATCACTGCCACAATTCTCCTAGAACCAGGAATAGGAGATCAGACAAGAAACTATCCACTTCCTCTATTAAAGCTAGAATAAATGTAAGCAAGCAATTTTTCAGGGCACACAAAAGATTCTTCTCTGAATTATCTGAGCTCTTTACTACATGATATTTGGAAAAGAGAAAATGCAGATTTATAGTGCACTGGGCCCTGACATTCTCCTTCACAGTTTTCTTCTTGTTTTACTTTTAGAATAGAATAGAGCTGGAAGGGACCTTGGAGGTCTTCTAGTCCAGGCCCCTGCTCAAGCAGTCCAGCCCCCTGCTCAAGCTTAGTACAGTTTTTTTCATTATAGTTGCAAAGGACAATTTGATAAAGAAAAGAAATATGATGAATGTTCCAAGAGAGATAATAAAACAACAACCCAAGCAAAACTGGGTTACTTTAGAAACTAACTAAACTATTATGATATTAGGGACTAGAAATCATCCATTTCCATGGTTTGTAACAAAGTTATAAGTATTGGGACACCAATATTATGTATACAATGCATCAGGAATAATTTAGAAAATATACTTGGAATGTGTAGAAAGAAAATTGCATCATTCAGCAACTCTTTAAAGCAGCTGTATAATTTCTCAGCTGTCACCCAAGCATCATTCAGCTGTAATGATCAACCTATCAACAGACTGACTGAAAGCACCACTCATCCCATGGGTATCAAGAGCATTATGGAAGAGCAAGCAGCCAAACAGGTTGATAGCACTACCATGGACAAAAGCTGGCAGTATTGAATTTACTGGACTGAATGATGTTATTTTCACAATATTTTATAATATGTTTTCCTATATTAGAACTTCATGTTGTGAAGACTCTTGTGGTTGACTAGAGACATTGTGCTAGCCAGTTTAATTTACTAACCTCCATTCCTTAAGATAGTATAAAGTATGCCAGCATAAATTTACTCAGTCAAAATAACCAGACTGTGATGTACAGTGTTAACAAAAATTGAGAATGATGCTGTTTTAGTAATTTACTGTAGGGCAAGCTAAGGTGCAGTGATTGGTGCATTTTTCTGCTAATAGAAAAGATCTACTGATCCCTCCCCCTAATTTGGGCTGAGGCTGGGACTTGGAAAGGAAGCTGATCTGGGGGAGGAATTCCAGGAAAATAGGAGAGGCTTTCTTTCTAGATCTCCTGTTTTGTGTGTGGGGTTTTGGGGAACAGCAGTATCTATTCTCTCCTCCAAGATTCCCCACATGACTTTCCCATACTATGTGAGTAGACAGAGGTTGAGCAAAGAGTCCTGGTTCAGCAAGTGCCACCCCCATATGACCTATTGTAGGAAGCCATGGAAATGACTTTGGAGAAAGAATTGAAATACTGTTAGAGAAATACCAGGTTCAGAGGAAACGTGCATTAGGTCCAAAGAGGCAGAAGAGCATCACAAAGAAACTCAGACTCTTTTCACTCCTCTGGCTGAAAGAGGGAGAGAAGGAAAGACATGGGCAGACTTGCAAGATTCTGTCATTGCAGCCTTTCTCATAAAGTATAGTTCTGGTCCTCCAGCGGAGATTGCTTTCCAGTCTGATCTATTTGGAAAAGCTGACAACTGCCTACACACTGTGAGGAGAATCCAACAGATGCCCCACATGGTGTGATGGCTGGGTTACAACAGCTGCCATGATGCAACCCAATGGCATGACTACCAACAAGCTGTATGTGAGAGGTCCTCAGCAACTTGTAGGCAGTTGCTAGGAGCTGAGGTAGGAGTCCCCTAACACCAATGGGTAGTTTGTGAGTTGATTACTGCTATAATTAATATAATTATTATATTAATTATAATTACTGTTATAATAATTCTGCACATCTGGCAGGGCTGGTACTGAATGAAGTGGGAATTCCCCATGCTGTGTTGCAGGCCAATGCTGATAAGTTGCTAAGCACCCCAGCCCCTGGTTATATTGATAACTATGCTGGCTACTCATGCATGTTGATGGCTCAGATGATTACTTGCAAAGTTAAGGGAAGTTTCTGCTGGTTTAACCATTACTGAATCTTCTGACATGCATGCAGTAGAAAGGGGGTGGAAGTGTGCCCACCTGATAAAGGGCCAGCACGAGAGGGATATTCCCCCTCCCACTCACTTCCCCCATATTACTAGTTCAGTTACTGCCACATTTTGGCCAATAGAAGGTGAAGAAAAACTCTGATTCAGCTATGGTTTTGGCTCTGGTTTGGAGATGAGAGGAAAGGGCTCTGTAGCATTCTCTTTGATGTCTCCAACTTGACATAAAGTCATGTGGTCTGTGATCTTTCTGGCTGTGGTCATTTAGGAATCTATTTTACCACTGTATTAACTGTTTTAATTTCTGGCACTTTTCAGTGTTAGAAATTCAGTTACCTATGTATATATTGTCAAGATTCATAGACAAAACTAGGCATAAATGTCCATTATATAGTTCTTCCACTTTCAATGCAACCTTTTACTTATATCCACAGATTTAACCACATTTTCTTGCCAGCTATGAAACAACAATTTTTCTTTTTATTGGTTCTTTTTGAAGTACCATTAAATAAATGGTTGTAAGTTGAGGAATACACACCTGTTTTGTATGTTTTTAGCTGACAAAGATGTTTAGATATTCTAGATGTTAAGACACTTGTTTTATTTTTTGAGCTGAACTGAAGCAGAAAGTGCAGAGCTTAAAAATTACAGTAGACAAAGATTCTTTTAAATAACAAATGCACAGCCCTTAGTCATTTGGAAGTGACTAAAAACAGCATGAAATTGTACAGATTAGGATTGAAGAATACTAGGTGAATGCCTCAGTGTTTTGCTTATCTTGTGAAATATACTTGACCTTATCTGGTTCAGCAAGTTCAAAGAATAAACTTGAACATTGTTGAATCAAGAGGGAATTTGGAGGAGCAAAGTAACACACAGCTGGGGAAAAGGCAAACACACCAGATTTGATATTATTTTATACACTTTCAAGATCACGGTTATTTCAGCTCTTTATCGTTTACAAATTTTGTGCCAAACAAAATATAACTGCTGATTTTTGTGAGATACACCAAGGTTACCATTCCTGTTATTGATTACTACAGTTATTCTGTTAAATGCTAGCATTTTCCTTATGTTTTCCTTATTATTATTTGGGATGGGTATAATTTTAAAGTTAACATCAATAGATAACACTGAAAGTGTATTTTGTATCAACTATTCTAGGTTTCCATAACAAACAATTCAAATTTATAGACCTGTTATTGTTTGGGTTTTTTTGAAAGTTGCAACAAAAATGAATACCACTGCACATAAAAATAATGTAACTATTCCATAATAACTAACCACACTGCATTTATCAAAGTATCAGGAATTACATGAACTTCAACATTTGGGAGGGCACCAAAGTAATGATCGTGTAACCCTTGGTTAATAAATATATACACAGTTCACAGCAGTGGATGCTTGAGACCCATTTTTTGTCAACATCTGAATCTATTGGGTTTGTCTTTTTTTTTTAAAGGGCCAAGGAAGAGGACTTTTGAGCAGTCTTATTTTTTGATATACATTTTTGGGGTTTGTTTTACATCTCTTATATTATGTATGGGGTACATATTGTTCATTCATAGTACATGACATGTTTCTTTTTCTCTTGTGTTTTTTCTTCAGAAAAATAAATAAAAATAGTGCTACCATTCCATAACAGAGTAGAGCAATAAGAATTCCCCAATGGGAGAAAACATACAAGAGAGAGAATAAAAGCATGACTGATTTAAGATCTCTATAGCAAAATAAAAAGCTACATGGATAAAAATGTCAATAGCCCAATTTTATTTATGTTTACTCTGAATGTAGCTAGCTTGGCTCATCTCCAAAATCAAAACAGAATAAGACCTGGTCCATTAAGACTATGGTATCTAGATGGCAAAAATCTGGGCTTTTAATCCGGCAGCAAAGTATTCATCTTCCCTATCTCTGAACTCCCTCAAATACTTGTCCTGATGTCTGGTATAATATGGTAGCCCAAGATTAATATTTGGGCAAGAGTTCTCCTGAGGATATTGCAAATGCAGTGGATTAGATTAAAAAGTTGAAAAAACAACCTGGAAGAAGGAAGTAGTAAATGAGTTCTATTCTGCTGCCAAGAAAACTTCAAGGTCATATTTATGAAATCACCAGGAATCCAACTCCATGGTAAGGAGAATTTACCTACTTATTCTAAATTACATCCTTTTTCAGTAGGAATTAGTTTTAGAACTGGAGCATCAACATGTTACTGGACTAAGAAATAACAACACACTAGCTGAGACTCACATATTTAAATCTGGAGTAAGTGTGCAAACTCACCTTTCACTAAAGATGTTTTTTTCAGATTGTGGGCCAGAACATTTATACTGGCATAAGTACTGTTGATATTTCCATTGATAGGATACATGTCTTTGTACTCAACTTGGTCTCCAACTGCAAGATTACTTCCATGCAATGCATCAACAGCAATGTAGTTGAGGCCATTCTGGAAGCCAGCTGAGGTTTCCCGGCACATGGGGCTACTGTTCTGTTCCTCTCCCAAACCTTCATTTTTCCTGAGGGACACATTTTCTACAGAGGCAGAATTCTGCCGCTTAGGATTGTGTGCAAAGGAAGGAGAAACAGGAGTCACTGTGGTAGTAGATAAGAAAGTTTCTGAGCTGTGCCTTCGACGCCCCTGAGGATCAGCACGAATGACTTTGGCTCCATGATTGGGATCAAAAGAAGGATTAGCAAAGGCAAAAGCCTTCACCCCAGGAAGGGTAAGTTGCTTCATTCCAGGGCCAGAGCTAGTCACACAAGCACTTTCTGGCTTGTGTGAGATGGGCTGGGGTGGTGCGGTGGCAGTGTTAAAAATCATTTCTGCATAGTCACCAGCTTCAGAAGTTGGGCTGGAAAGGTAAGCCATCTGCATTCCAACCTTTAAATAATGCTTGTCTAGCTGCCCGGGGTTAGGGCAAGATACTGGCATAAGTATTTCTTCCAAGGACCCCAGAGAGATGGCACTTGTCTGTGGACCATCAAAGTCGAGGTTCATATAACTGGAAATCCTTGAGCCATTATGCCCACCTAAGCCAGGGTTAAGCAGAGAAGATACATCCTCACAGTCTGGCGCCAGTGAGTAGCCAATATCAACATAATCTCCACTGGAACTCTGAGGTTCCTTTAGAAGAGGCTGTTCATTCATGCTGGGTAGCAAAAGCCCCAGAGAAGGGTGAGTGGACTGGGTATTGCCTGTCTTTTGGCTGAAAGAGTTCTCAATTTGATTGTGATGCATGGATAAATGCACTGAAGTATTGTTGCATGGAGCAAGAAAGAATTTCCCTTTGGGGGCGTAATTCTGTCTGCCTGTTGGAGAGCTCATAAACACGTACTGGTCACTGTCCTTTCTCTCACCGTGGGAATCTGACTGCTGTTGGCATGCATGCAACAGGCTACCCAAGTAACCAGCCTGGTTTCCAAGCCTCAAAGCACTGAAATGATCAGTTGAGAGCATAGGTGAATCTGAAGCAGAAGGTCCATGCAAAGGGGGCAAAAGCAAAGGGGACATACTGATGTAGTCATTGTTGGCCAATCTCTCTTCTGGACTCTCTCCAGGCAGCCTGGTTCTGGTACCCCACATATGCATGTAACCACAATCATCTGGAGAACTCTCCCTGTTGATTTTGTAGGAATAAGACTGTGCAATCTGTTGTGGGGCTGACACACTGGTGGGATGCATAGACATATAGCTATCAGAATCAGTCTGCAATGACACGGCAGATGATATGCTGGGACTCATGGGCATATAGCCATCCTCCTTAGGCACAATACAACCTATGTGTGACCTATCACTGCTGATGCCACCACACCCAATGTCCACATCACAATAATCTTCGGGATAAGGAGTATAGGTTGTCTTTGGTGAATATCCCGCTCTTGAAAAGGTGGCCTGCATGAGTGTGTACTCGTTGAGGGAGGCAGAGGAAACTGGAGGAGGCAAGGAGCCTTGGTGTGCTGGTGTTGTCAAAGAGTAAGTGCGCTTCCTGGGAATCTTGTCCTCTCCACAAAGATATAGCTGGTGGTGGACAGGTTCCCGCTCCATCACAATGTAACCATCCAACTGCCAGCCAGGAGGAGTTTCAGGTGTGTTGCTATGGTGGCTTGTTGCTGAAGAAGATGAGAAAGGCAGTAGCTCTCCAGCTGGACTGGAGTCTATTTCCTCAAAAGTCATGAAGCCAGCTAGGTCACTGGGGGAACCAGAAGCAGAAGCGCTGCAACTAGATAAGCGCTGAGAGGCCAAGCTTGGCTCTGTGGTCAACTTTGGTCCCAGGGAGGAAGAATGCCCTAAAGCTAGGGAGCCACCAGAATGGATTGCTGTTGGCCCTCCTAGTGGGCTAGGGACCCTTCTGATTCCAAGGCGATGTGAGATTTGCCCCGTTTCGGGGCTCAGGGGGCTGCCAGACAGCGAGTCAGCCCTAATTCCATCACTCTCGCTGGCCGTCCGCACCCGGCTGCTATGGCTGCTGCTACTACTGCTGCTGCTGCTGCTGCTACTGCTACTCCCTGCTACAGTCAAGATGTCAGTGCGCGAACGGCGGAGGAGGCCGGTCTGGTTGGGGGGCAGAGGCGCCAGCGGGTGATGATGGGCGTGATGGCGGCGGCCGGGAACTGAGATGGGCCGGCTGCACATAGACGATAATCCCCCGCCGCCGCCCGCAGTCACGGCGACTGTGGTGGCGCCTCCGGACGAGGAGGACGAGGACTGGCTCTTGCTCCGCGGGCGGAACTCTACGAGCTCCCGCAGCGCCTTCATGGCCTCCAGGATGGTCTCGTGGATGTTCTGCGCCACCACCGAGTCGTCGGCTTGCATCCAGAGTTCCCCGGGCCCCGTTGAGGCGGAACGCCCCAGTTCCATGAAGAAAAAGCTGTCCGAGTGACCGCATCGGCGGATGTTCATAAGCTGCAGCGTCACGCAAGGCCGGTCGCAGTTGAGCCGCACCAGCCCGACCGTACGCGCCGCCAGGCACAGGCGGTGCACGCCCGTGAGGTTGCGGCTCTGCCCGAGTCCCTTCGGCTTCAGCGTCACCTGCCACACCTCGCTGTAGGCGGCGGACGAAGGGGGCCTGCAGCCCAGTTGCCCGTAGCTGAAGTCCTCGCAGGAGGCCAACTGGGACGGGTGCCGAGGAGAGCCCTGTGCCGCGGCCTGGCCCTCGTGAAGCAGCTCCGTGATCGCTTGGTACCAGGCCTCCTGCTCAGGCTCGCTTTCAGCCGCCAAGGCGAAGTACTCGTCGCGCGTGTAGAGGGCGATGAGGTGCTTGTGCTTGGCGTCGGCTCGTTTGTGGATATTGAGGCAAGCGTCGAGGGCAATGGTCCGCTTAGGAGCCGTGGACTTACTCCGCCACTTCTTCTCACTCTCGTAGTACTCCAGTCGGGCTGGCTGCTGCGGCGACGCCTCCTCCCCCGCTGCCGCCCCGCCACTGGGGGCGCGAAGCACGAAGAAGCGCTTGTGGCCATGCTTCTGCTTGCGAAGGTAGCCGCACTTGCGCACGCCCGGAGGTGGCTGCTGCTGCTCCTGTTGTTGTTGCTGGTTGTTGTTGTTGTTGTTGAGATTGGGGCCAGCCGAGGAGCTGCTGGGCGATTCCGGTGCGGGGGCGGTCGCCATCCCCCAGAATGGGACGGTATTCCAGGAGGGCGAGCCCCGGGCTTCCTTGGTGTGCGGCACCTGTCCCTGGTATCTTCTGGGTCTGCTCGTTACTGTCAACTCGCGCTCCTTCGCCTCTGTCCGCCCGAGGCTACTGCGCAAGCTCCGTCAGTTTCAGCACCACGGACGCAGCGAGTTACTTCTCGCACTTTGCTCGTCCCCGCGAAGAGCAAAACAACACGTGAACTGCCGGTTACCCAGCAGTTACCCAGACGCTCACCCACACGGAGGGATGGGGTTGCCGGGAGATGCCTCCTCTTGGCCTTTCATCCCACTGCGCTCCACATTGGGTGCCACACCGCGTAAAAGGCAGCTTGCTCCACCAATAGCGTGGAAGATAGAAGTCCCCCCCCCAGGCCTCTAGGATATTATTGGATTGGAGGCTGACGTCTTTTTCCTGCCACGCCTATCAGTCCCCCCTGGTTTTTTTTCCATACCTGTCTCTGCAACCGTGTTTCCGGGCAGAGCACCTCCTGCGCAGTGAGCTGCGGTTTCTGTCCTCAGGAAACTGCCTTGATGGCCCTAGCTCCAAGGGCGCTCCGAAGACCTAAACTCTAGATTATTTATTTTAGCATAGTTTGATAGAGCTGTACGTAATAATTTGTGTTTGGAGGCACGCACATACATAATAGAATTCATCGTAAATTACAACATCACGTGAAAGCTGGAATATTACTGGAATATTACAGCAAGCCATAATATGGAGGAAAGAGCAATTGGACATTTTCTGAAAGGACCAAGGAGAAAACGGAAGCTGAAAAAGGAAAAAAGATTTTATACAAATCTTCTCTTGCACTGAAACATGTCACTTACTTCAACTGTTCCTCCCAGGACTTGTTTCGAGATGCCTGGAACCATCTGGTTGCGGTCTTATTAATATTCATAAGTCAGTGTCATTCTGAATACATGGCATCAACAACTAGTTGCAAAATTTCAGAATCTGTTCCCCCCCTATTTTTTAAAAAAATTGGGTTGAACTGCTGTGCTGGCTCATAGCTATTAAACGTATTACTACCAAGCAAGAATAATTTCATCCTGGGGAAAAATCATTAACAACAAGAAGAAATACACACAAAGACACCTGTGTATGTGTATACCTTCAATAGGTACATACATATTTGTGCCTGCTGATTAGTGTTTACTCCTGTTGAGTTCCTGTAGTTTTCTTAAGGTTTTGAAAGTGGTTTTGCCATTGTCTCCTTCCTAGAGTTGAGTGATTGGCTTATAGTCACTCAGCTGACTTCATGCTTAAGACAGGATTCCTGCTTTCTAACCTGGTGCCTTAATCACTACACCAAACTATTAAAATAAGCCAACAGAAAATTGCCAAGGAGACTATTGAGCTGCTAAATGACAGAACATTAAAAATATGCTAGATAGTGCATACACAGTTAATAAAGTATTTGCTTTCATCTTTGTTGGGGAGGATATATAATATAAGTTTATGCCTGAAATAGTTTTTTTCAGGAAGAGAATCAAAGTAGCTGAAAAACATTAATCATATAATATGAAGTCATGCCTACTGCCAAATTAAAAATAAGGACATGCCGATATCCAAATAGTATTATCCTGAGAGTTGTTAAATAATTCTTTTGCAAAAACTAGCATTTGTTCCCAAAGTCTGTAAAGTGTGCAATTAAAAAAAAAAGCCAGAGAAGATACAAAATTATACACATGTTAGCTTAATGTCCTTGCTGCATAAAATGCTACAAGGTATTTAAAATAAAAACATTCAAATATACAGAAGAATGGGATTTACTAAAAAGGACTAAAGGAAGTTTTGTGTCACCTAAAGTTCAAATCTTTTCTAAAGATGTCAGTATTGAATCCTTGAGATACTTGATGGCAAACATGTGAGTTTTGAATACTTGGAGAAGTTCTTTTCTTTTCTTTTTCTTTTTTTAAAAATATTTTATTGATTTTTAAGAATTACAGTCTTTAATGCTTAGTAAACAACATGTTATCTGGGTTCAAATATTTAACATTAACTTCTTCAATATAAATCTGTTCAGTACTGCACAATCCTGTATTTTTTCCCTGATCCTCCTTTTCTTTCCCATATTTTTTCCATTTCCCCCCCATTACACAGTTACAGTTCTTGCTACTGTTGATGTGTACAAAGTTAGATATAAACATCCTCATCATATTTTACTAATATACAAATAATATCAATTCATAAATCAATATCCTGTTTTTCATGCTCTTCTTAAGGTTTGTTTTCCCACCAATATTTGAAATATCTTTGTCAGTTATGATTTTCTCAATATTAATTACATTTATATAGCTAAAAGTTTTATACCAGGCATCCTCTTATTTTCATATTTCCCATATCAAAAGAAAAAAAATGCTATTTTAGTTCTAAATCATATCTCTCATTATAAAAGTCTAATTATATCTAAGGGTCATCCATTCTTTTAATCATATTCAAACAAATATTTAAAGATATAATATCCCCCTCTAATCGATCAAATCTTCGATTATTTTAAATCTAACTCTTGCTTTCTTTCTTTGCCAAGTAGCTTTACAAGCCAGGGCAATTAAGTTGTGCAGGAGATTTCTTTCTATTTTTGTAAAAGTTTCTTGGCATGAGGAAAACATAGGGTATTTTTTTTGAGTTCCTTAAGCAACTCCCACTTTCCTTCTCCCTCAATTTCTCTTTTCATTTTTTGTCTCTGAAGTTGTGACATTTCCTCTATATTCCATTTTTTAAAATCTTCTTCCTTATCATCAGGTATATTTTGCAGATCTAAAAGGTAAAATGTCTTTTCCATTTTCATTGTTATCAGTATTTTATTTGTATGTGGTGGTTTATATTTCCCTTCTTTTATCTCTTTTGTCTCTAAGTCTATTTCCTCTGCTTCATTTTCTGATTTCTGGTTTATTTCTTCATACTTTGTAGTCGTCTGGAAATTTTCTAGTTCTAGATTTAAATTGGAGATTTGTTCATTTATATTATCTAAATTATTTTTAGTCTCATTATGGTTTCTTTTTATGTCCTCTTTGTATGTGACTTTGGTGAGTTAATTGTAGCATAGAGTATATGTCAAGCCCTCCCAGGCTCAACATACAGGAGGGGGGAAGGTGAAGGACAACACATTGGGGGAGAGGACAGCCAGAACCGGTTCCATGCAGCTCACTGTCTTGGCTAAGCAGCTCGGCGAAGCAGTTTGAGCGGCGGTGCTCCGGGGGGGCGCATTTGAACTGCCGGACAGCTGACAGGCTGTTGCTGTGCAGTGGACGCCGAGCGGAACACCGGACGATGTTGGGAGCCGCGCCCACGCGGTGGAGATGCTGGGACAATTAACGAGCGGCCGCTGGACAGCTGATGAGCGGGAGAGCTGCACTGTCAGGGTGGGACTTCCCAGAAGGCCAAAGATCACACAGACGAACAGGAGGGATGGGGTCAAGCTGGGACAGCTGCTGCGCTTTGGACTAACTACAGTCGGATGCTGATTGGGTGATTGGAGAATGGAGTTGCTGGCTAGTTGGGCCAGGGTGGGGTGGCACTGAAGCAAGTGCATTTAAGCTGCGCTGGGAGGCGATTGCTCCCAGTGGAAACTTTGTTCAGCAAGGATCTTTTGTGCTGTAAGTCTGTGCTGTTGCCAACGATGCCTTAAAGTAAACCTGCTGCTTCCTGAGTCTGTTTGCCTTTGTGTCCTTCTTTACCCAGGAGTCTGGTAGGATTGTTGACAGTATATTTCCTTCTGAAAGGTGTTTATTTTTTCTTGAGGCATCATTCCTGAAGATCCTCTAGTATCACCAACCTTAATAAGAATAGAACAAAGTTTCATCTAATTTTCTGGTCTTTATGTGTAGCCTTTATAATCCAATAGGTACCAGAATATGGGTCCAGTCCTAAAAGCAATATTTTGTAGTGATCTTTTGTCTCAGGCGTCCAAGAATTTTCAGGCAGGCAAAGTTGTAATCCACAATGTTCAAAGTGTTCAAAATGTTCAACCACCCTGAAGACAGCTCAAAAGTCTCTCCAGCCAAACGTAGTCAAAAGTCAAATTTTTCTTTCCCTCCCAATAGTTCTTGAGATTAAAAGTCCAAGCTCAGTAAGTGTTTATAATCGAAGAAGGTCAGGGTGATAAGTATGCCAAAATATTTTCCTTTATTGCTAGTTATTCTCCATTAAGCTAGGAGTCACCAAGCAGCCAGGAAGTTAGTTGTGGTGCTATACTCAAATCCACCACTAGATGTCATTCAAAATCCATTTTCCACTCTTAAGACAGGATTAATTTCTTATATTTCACTCAATTTTTTTTCAAAGAGAAAATCTTAACAATTATCTCAGTTCTCAAATTTATCCAAACTGTAGCTTTATGTTACTTCCACTTCGGTATTATGTATTTCTATCAAAGAAATTAAAATGCTGCTTCCATTCATGTTTGGAGGTTTTTAGCTACTTGGGAGCCTTTCCCAGGAAATTCAGTTTTAAAATAGTAAAGAAAGGATCAATATTCTCACCCAGTTCCAAACATGCTGTTTATGACTGCTAATTGGTGCTTTTCTTCTTTAGTTGTCAGCAGCTAATGGCTGGCCACAGAATGTAGCCAGTCTTTCCCCTGCCGGTTTGGAGGGCTTTCCTCAGATCAAACGGAAAGACCACCATCTCTCCATGATCAACAAGGTGCCCCTCCTTCTTCATTGTCTCTTCGGGGCAACTTTAAGCCCTTTTAGTGCCCCAGCAGGGTGAAATTGGGTGTGGAAGGCAGAGCCTTGCCTTTCTGCATCCATCTCACCGTGACACAAAACTGAAGAAGTCTGGAGAAGTTCTTTTCAATTTGCTTATAAGTGATCCAAAATTAGGGATGAGCAGTAAGATGCGAAGTTCAGTGATGACATCAAAAAGGGACTGTGAAGAACTCCCAAGAAATCCATTCAGATTGGTTGAAAGGACAAAAAAAAAATCATTGATACATTAATAGAATGTGAGATGAAAAAAGGGACCAGGAAAGGGATCTTGGAATCCTCACATATCAATGAAAAGCTGAACCTAGTGGATAGTTACCGTAAAGCAAGGCATAGTCTATGGTTCAACCATTAGAAGGGAAACTGAAAATAAAACAGGACTGCCTTATATAAATCTAGAGTGAGACTACACTTGGCGTATTATCCACAGTTCTAGTTACCAAACTGAAAAAAGAAAAGACATTGAATAATTTAAACAGTGTAAAAAAAGCAACCCCTCCTCAGAATTAAGTGGTAAAAGCAGTTCCCCCTCAGAAAATCTTGATTTGAAGTCTATATTATAATGTATGGTATGAGCAGCATACCTAGAGGTGAAGATGCTAACCTCCCATTTGGAAGGTTGAGAGTTCAGTCCTAAGTAGTGGCAGATGTTTCTCTCTTACGGTGCAAAGAAAACTGCTGCAAACTCCACGTAGGCATCAGAAAGGGTATCCAGCTAGTAAATGCTCAGCTCCATCCAGCTGCCCTGACTGTACCCTGGATTAAGAGATTACAGGGTTGTAAAAAGAATATATATATATATATATATATATATATATATATATATATATATATATATATGTAGGTCTTTGGTTGTTCGGGTTTTCTCCCACGTAAAATTGGAAGTGTCTTGGCGACGTTTCGACGAAGTCCCATTCGTCATCTTCAGGCTGGTGCTTTCAGCTTCGTGCTTCGAGCAGCAATGTGTGGTCTTAGCTGTTTCTTCCTTTTAACTGCCAGTGGGGGTATGAACTGATTGGGTGGGAGCTTGGCTGTGTTCTGATTGGGTGGAGGTGTGTTCTGATTGGTTAGGGGCGTGGCTGTGCTCTGATTGGCTGGGGGTTGGCTGCTGATTGCTGGGGGGTTGGCTGTGCTCTGATTGGCTGGGGGAGTGTTCTGTTGGTTGTGCTTAGTCTGAGTTGCAGAGCACAACCAAACAGAACACTCCCCCAGCCAATCAGAGCACAGCCAACCCCCCAGCCAATCAGAGCACAGCCAACCCCCCAGCCAATCAGAGCACAGCCACGCCCCTAACCAATCAGAACACACCTCCACCCAATCAGAACACAGCCAAGCTCCCACCCAATCAGTTCATACCCCCACTGGCAGTTAAAAGGAAGAAACAGCTAAGACCACACATTGCTGCTCGAGCACGAAGCTGAAAGCACCAGCCTGAAGATGACGAATGGGACTTCGTCGAAACGTCGCCAAGACACTTCCAATTTTACGCGGGAGAAAACCCGAACAACCAAAGACCTACATACAAATACCCGCGAAAACCTCAGAAAACTATATATATATATATATATATATATATATATATATATATATATATATATATATATATATATATAATGTAAAAAGTAGGTCAGTTTTCTCTTGTCCTAATGTTTGATGTCTATTTATATTAATATGAGGCAATTCAGGACTGCAAAAGCAAAATCCTTCTTTACAGATGCTTGGAAAGAAGTTTAAACTACTGTATGAGATTTGTGAGCATTAGATGTGAAGGCTCCTAATTTAGATGATTTAAAAAAAAATCTATAATGTCACTCTTCATGGATTTTTTTTTCATATAATTTAAAATCAAAGATCTTTCACTGAAACAGGGAAGAACTGTGTAGTTTTTCTAATTTGAAATAACCAGTGTGGATGCAATGACTAAAATGCTGGGCTAGGACGGGGTAGGTGGTGAGATCCAGGGAGATCCAGACTCTGCCATAAAATGTCACTAATGGATAACTTTGAGGCAGTCACTCTTGTCAGCCCCATAGGATTGTTATTAGAATAAGATGAAGATAGATCCTATGATTTTTTTAGATTTAAAACTTAATTTTTATTTTAATAGTAACATGAAATAATAGTTTCACCTTCCAGTATGATCCAAATTCAGGAATCATGGAAGATGAGGTAAGGATAAAACTTTATAGGTTAATATGGCAGATCATGTAACTCTAAAAGTTGTGGAGTCTAGATGAGGATTGATGAAGATTTTAAATTTTTGTTTAAAAGTTGACCTCCTTATAAGGCTTAGTCCTTCCAATTTAGGTAAATCCTCTCCATGCTTTTTGGAGGAGGAAAATGCTGCAGAGAAAGATATCCCAAATATTGATGGGAATAGACTGTACAGAGCAAAAGAGCTGCTGAAGCAGACTTACAGATAGGAATACAAAGGAGAAAAGTCCTCAAGTTGGGATCTGCTTACATTATCCTAGGCAGCATGGTATCATAACATACTGTTCTAAGGCACTGCCAAATGTTCTCTCTTGTGCCTTTTAATGCATTGCTAAAGTGAGACACTGCCCATGTGGTGAGGTGTGTATAAACAGCCTTTAAAAAAGTAGTACTATTGAGACAGCCAAAGTGGTATAATAGTCTCATTTCAAAAATTCCCAGGTGCTCTGGATGATTTTTATGTACGCTATCTACTTGCAGAGACACTTTGAAATTTGGTGGCAAGTTTATTTGACTTCGTTTGGCAATTTGCTTTGTACATATATTATATTTTAGCTCATTTTACTGTATTTTTTCCTGGTTTTTTTATGCCTTACAAGTTTAGATATAAAATAATGTAAAATAATGTCAGAATACTAATTGAATTTGAAAAATACTATTAAGGAATGGTTTGGAATCAAAGTAATTTGATTGTGGAAGTACCAGAGGAAACATTATAATCTGGAGAGTATCCAAGCATATATTATGAGTGGAATAGAAGTAACTTTTAAGACTGAGCATGAATGAAACATGATGGATGAATCTGGTATCAGAATAATCAACTTGAGACTGCTAGATATCACTTGTACTAAAACATGCAGATGCTGGAAGAATTTATGACACTAAGTAATTTGTTTTGTGAGCTTATGCTACACCTCAAATCATGGAGAAAAAAGTTATTACAAATGAATAGTTGAATGCAAGTATATTAAGGACAAACTACTGTGATAGCAATAAGCACTGAGTGAGTTAAAAAAGTAACAGTGAGTAGGGCAACAAAACTTGTCCTGCAATAAGCAGCATCACCCCAATGCTTTGACCAATCACGGTATGTACCATTAGGTCAGTATTGACTCTTGGCAAGTACATAGATAAATGTTGTCCAGGACAATCTGTTCCCAATCCACTCTTTTTGATGTTTCAGTTGTACGTCCATTGCCATTATAAGTGAGTCCATCCACCTTGCTGCTGTTTATTTTTTTCTTTTTTTCTTCCATATTTTCCAGCATTGTAGACTTTTATCAGGAAAATGTTTTGGAAATTAAATGAATGCTCAGAGAATAATACTGAAATTTAGGATGTGTGCAATCTGAATGGAGACTGAAAGTGATACCTGCTGTTTTAAAAAATATGTCTGGAATAAAAGTATCGCATTTCACATTAGATAATTTAGCTTAATGTTAGCAGCATTAGAAAATTATATCTGATGGAATAATTGCCAGGAAATAGATTTTATAACTTGTTCTGAGATTCCAGTAACTTCTCCCATTTCTAAGAACACAATTAAAGAATTGTGCTGGATCTGACAAAGGTTTAAGTAGTTTGTAGCGATGATCAAGATTCTGGACTAAAAAAATGAGAGACTGTGAGTGAGTTTAGTCCTTCCTAAGACAGGAAAAATGATTCTGATCCACTCATTCACTCTCAATTCAACCCACCAGCTGGATTGTTCTTCACTAGGCAAGAGGATGCAGTAGTTCTTTGTTTGTTGTCCCAAGCTGTACACATAAAGCAGAATACAAAACTAATAAATTTCCCTCCTTTAGTGGCCAACCAAATGCCTCTTGAAAGTGTAATAACACTTTCCTAGCTGTGTGTATCAGCAATTGATACTGAGAAATATAATGTAGCAGTGTTCATCTAACATAGCAACTTGTTAATCCTGAACCATGGTTTCCTGCTTTTGTCTAGAGTTCACATAATACATTAAGATATGATATAATAAGGATTAATAATGTATGGTTCAGCATATGAAGGGATACAGCCATTGGCTTAGCATTTTGTGTGAATGAAATTATAGTTGTCAGACTGCAAGAACTGACAATGACATTGTCAACATTGGAGTTGCGTATGAATAGTTTATTGTTCTTCACCTATGGACAGAATCTTACCAAATTAAAGCCACTATTTGCATAAATAATACTTTGGGAATAACTAGGGTGCAACCGTTTTAATCCTCTTCCTGCCAACCAAACTTTCCAAGTTCTCCTACCTCTTTGCCCTCTGGAAAGCAGCTTCTCCCTCCTGGGAATCCAGACTACATTCCATCAAATCAGTAGACATAACA